TCAATTTTAAGTCGCGCTTAAATATAGTTCTGTCAACACTAATTCTTTGTAAAATGACAGAGACGGCACGATATTTGAGCACGACTTAAAATTGAGTAACGTTTCAGTATTCCGGCGCTAGACTTATCTCTGTATCTCTCACTCGCTATAGTTGCTCACTTCCCGTCCAGTAGAACATTTACCTAAAAATTATATTGAACATACTATACAGACGATAACACACCTTAACTGTTATGTATAAGGTCGAAATTACAATAATAATGTTCAAATACAATTGAAAACTTAACTTATTGCGTTAATATTATGGTGCATTATTGTTTGTTTCCTGCTTTTAGTGTTAGTTATTTTTCTGATATATAAATAGTACCTCAACCAAAGAGTAGCCAATGTCTATGTACTATATATATGTATAATTGTATGTATGGTTGTTTGTATGATATTGTAACTCTGGTAATTCGCTGGTCGATGTCGCCAGTTTAGAAAATAATAAAGAAATATTTGATTCTGAATTCTTGTGTTTTATTCATCGTATCTTGGTACAGAATAATAGTTGCTATATAGACTGCAGGACCATGTCAAAAAATGATGAGTCATTTGTACTACCAGCAGCTGTAGCCAAATGCCACTTACCGCTTGTCTACATGTTGAGTAGAAAACCAAATTATATGGAATTGACGTAAACTTGACACTTGTCAGTGTCATCCCCATACCTTTTGATTTCTACTCTCTCTGTAGACAAGCGCTAAAGTGGCGTTTGGCTAAAGGCCCAGGGCCAGGCACTTTAGGCCAGAGAGAGTAGAAAACTAAATGTATGGGGATGACACTGACAAGTGTCAAAATTTACGTCAATCCCATATAATTTGGTTTTCTATTCTACATGTAGACAAGCGCTAAATGGCATTTGGCTACAGCTGCTGGTCACCTATCTAGAACGATATAGAAGCATAAAATAATAAGACTCAATACTGCACCCGCACTTGTAAGCTGTCCAACTATGAGTAGGTGAGAATTCAAATTTTGTTTTTTTTTTTTTGAATTTCGAAAGTACAGGTAGACTGTACTCAGTCTCATCTCAGCTAGATGAAAATGACGATACCATTTAAGGGTACTTTATGGCCATCTAATACAGTACGGCATTAACATATTATTGAAGAGAACAATCGATAATATGATAAAATCACTGTCAATCCCAGTATCAACAGTTTTGTATATTTATGGAATAGGAGGCAAAGGATAAGACAGATCACCTGATGGTAAACGATTAGCGCCGCCCATAGACACCCAACTGGCAAAACCAGAGGAGTCACAGGTGCGTTGCCGGTGTTTTAAAAAGGAATACGCTCCTTTTTTGAAGGTTTGAAGGTCGTATCGGTTCGGAAATACTGCCGACTTATTACTTTTTGGTTTAATATATACTTTAATTTACAATATACACTTTATTGATTCTTGTATCCACATTAAAATGGTTAATTACGAGAATCGAATACACAGCACGTTGCACAGCAGCCGGCCACCCAGCCACTGTGATAACCGTGTATCTGATCATCTACTATAAGCTTCTAGATTTCGGAATCAAACTCATCACTTACGTAATTAACGATATACCTTTAAAAACAGGAATAACACCAACTTTTTACCAGTTATGACTTATGAATTCCAGGTCGGGCAAATTATTATTGAGTTTTCAATTTTTCAAATGAATTCTCAGCCAGCTCTGAGTCTGGACTTGTGCCTGGTTTAAAGCATTTAGGCTTACCAATCAGATACTGGTGTCCTCTCTCACCCAACCCCATGATAGACCTTGTTTCCAATGTTTAAGAGACTACTTTTGTTTAATACAAACATAAGGTGTGGTGTTTAGAGGTTTGATATATATGCCCAATCCTAATAAATGACCTTGGGTGACCCAAGGTCACTCTGGCCCTGTCTTTAAAAGGGACAAGCCCGCCACAACCTCCCAAAACCGCTGCAACTCCTGTAAGCCAGGATCTACAGTAGATACAACCATGAAAACACCGGAACATTGAAGTCCGGCGCGTCCCAGGGACATGAGTAACTGTCTTGGTTCCCGCAACGAAATGAATCAGAAGATATTATAAGAGGAGAAGAAAAAACTATAGTTTCCACTTCCCTCGGTGAATTTCTGCAGGAGACAGAATGAATTAAGCCTAAAGGCACAAAGAAGAGACTGTACAACTGGGTGAAGCCCAGTCGCCAAGCACCACGGAAATTTGACTAAAAAACTAAGTGGGTCCTATGTGTGAGCTGTTATACTTGCTTCCAATAATAGGTATGGCAAAAACGCCTAAACGCACGGAAATTTGTTCTAGATTCCACAAGGTCCGTATAATAAGCTACACCTGACGAAACAATTAAATTATTCAACATAGTGTTAAGTTCATATTGCCAGAGATCACACTCCCAGAGTATGTGATGGGCCGACTGCTCGTATTGCAAATCCACTGTCGAACATTGGCACCATGGTGAATCAACAAGTTTAAATGAGAACAATTTGCTTTTAAAGTTGCCGTGGCCAGTAAGAAATTGGGCAACACAGTGATCCACCTCCAACCATGTTCTCTCCAGCCGCTCATGCACGGATGGGAAGAACTGATACAGGTGGCGGCCCTTAATAGAAGATGTCCATCTACCCTGCCATTCAGTTATAAGCTCATCCCTGGCCCTGGCCCTGCATCTGGCCCTGTCTGTCAATTTGTAAATACCTATGTCGAAAATATCCTTAACTAGCTTCTGCCCGCGACTTCGTACGCACAATCCCTTTTTTTCCCGTTCCCGTACGTGATTTTCGGTAAAAAGCAAAAACAAAGGGATAAAAAGGATCCTATGTCTGTCTCCTGGTTTAAAGCTACCTCCCCACCAAATTTCATCGAAATAGATTAAGCCGATCTTGAGTTATAAATAGTGTAACTAACACGACTTTCTTTTATATATATAGATTTTTGGCTAGGACCTCTAGTTTTCGAGATATTATCAAGCAAGGACTTCTCTAATCAAAATATCTATTGTAATTTGAGCTAAGCTTTTTATTAACTCCTATTCACCCACTGGTAGTTTATAAAGTTTAAGGTTCTAAGTTTTGAAAAGTGGGCCTACTTCACCCAGTCACTCTGACCCAAGGTCACTTTGACTCTGTCTATCAAACGGCTAATGTGTCTTTACATGAGGTGTGGACACTCAATGGGGTTCGAAAATTACGTTATATTTTGGTTAGACCCTCTAGTTTTCGAGATAATTAGATTTCTATATACTTACGAAAAAAAAAACAATTCGTTGATTTCTCTTCTAACAAAGGGTGCACCCTGCTGCCGGCGTCTGTGGACCGTAGACTATAGAGACTGGCCGAAAGGTGATGTTTGGTACGGGTAAATAATACAAAATAAAATTTTATTTATAATTTTTATTAAATTAATTATTTCTATAACTTTTTACATATAGTAAATTATATGTGCCACGTTTCGTCAATTACATTGAATAATGCTGCCATGTCACATCAGCATAGTCACAATAGTACCTAATGTTTGCCTCTACGATCCGACAACGATTGGCTGGCCGCGACGACACATATCGTCGGATGATCGACGCTCCCGAGCGCGACGTGCTCGACCGGCGTGGTCAGCGTGACCAACGTGTTGAGCGCGGCGCGGCCCCGGGAGTGTCGCCGCGGCCGCCGCCCGCGCGACGACTCGCCCCCGCACACAACTTGGTCCAAGAATATATTTATGAAATAATTTGTATAAAAATTTTGGCTCCAATATTTACAAATGCACTGATATTTTTTTACAACGCCGGACTAATTTTTACAGCGACTAAGTTGAGTAAAGGGTCGCGGAGGCGAGCCGGGCCGCGGGCGTGACGAGTTTATTGCAATTCATTTCTAATAACACATTTCTTATCTAATAAGAGTGCGCGCGTACAGTGCGCGTACGTTCTAATACCCTATCGTTACAGTGGGACACGCTACGACTGGAGACAAGGGAAGAGATGCAACACAAGCGCACTGTAGCAATAGGATACAGAGACAACGTAATGAGAAGAGACAACACCGAAGGCAGAGCTGACTGGCTCGCTGGCCTGACGTCGCCCGCGCTAGCTACTCGGTACTCGTATTCTGACGATACCTTCTCCCTGTTTCGTGTTTTAAAATTAACATTTAGAATTAACACACAAGTTGAGGGGCTTATACAGAATTTGTACTCTTAAAGTGTCCCGTCGCCGCTTGCACCCATGTGACACCCGTACGGACATACGGACAGAACTATGCACTACGACACTAGAGGCCCGCAGTCGCGGCGCGAGTCCTTCGAAGCGAAACACTGGTACACTGGTATGATGTCAACGACAAAGCACGGTTCTAACAATAAATTAAATAATTTTGTGATACATAAATAATAACCGAATGATAAATATAATTTTGTTGCTATAAATATTCTGACAGAGGCTAGAGTCTGAGCGTTGGATAGACGGCGGTGTCTGGCAGCACTGCGGCCCCGCTAACAATGGCAACACTAACATTACGTAAGCTGAACATTTGAACTAACGGATGGATGGAATCGTTCGATACAACAGAATCAGTCGAGGGCACTCCCACTAGACAACAGTAACAGACAACTGGCAACAAGGGGCGCAGTGCGCACACCGCCCTCGCTACATTACCGTAAGAGATCAAACTGTCATTAAACAAACATTATACTTACAAATGATAATACGTTTACAACTATCCTTATTATACACATCCATACCTAAAACAATTTACAATAATATTTTATGCAAATTATATTTAGACGTAACATTCAGTCGGGCAAGGAGGAAGTAATGAGATTGACTCGTACGGAGCCCCACCGAATGCCAATATGTAGATATTTACTGCAAAATTAATATAATACAATGAAACATTCAGTCGTTCATTTCAGAAATGAATCAACAATTTATTACAAGATATAGTTCATAACAAAAATATATATGTACTCATTGAGATGTTATTCTGTGATCATTTTGTAACACATTTATGTATAGTTTCAGCTCCAGTCGTGTATAGTAAATTACTTTTTTGGTACATGAATGTCCACATAGCTTAGGATCGCAACCAAATAACTGTGTCATCACGCCCGGTGGAGATAGCCTGCGATGTGGAGATGCGCGATAGTGAAGATAATATAATATCAATACGAGTGTTGGGTCAGCTCAATGAAATGCCTTTGTACAAAATTAAAATATCCGTTTTATTTGCACTCTGAATTATTTTCCGGAGAATATATCAGTAAGTAGGTGTATGACACATTTACCCAGCCGATATTGTGTGACAATGAAGTGAGATCATTAATAATAATTCAATATTAATACTTAACAATACGATGGTTAGTGGATGAATTTACGAGCAGTTGATTTTTTATGCCATTTTGGACTGTATCCTCAATGGGATAGAGTCAAAAATAACACAGGATATAATATCGTATTGTCTACAACTACCGCGTATTTCAATAAAAAATAAGAAGTACATATGAGTGAGTGAATGTATGTATGTGTGATGCGAGCGACGTTTACATCACGTAAACCGAACGTTCTAGCGTCGGAGCAATATGGCGGACCAAGGGACGATTTACGAAATATAAATGACGCCGCATGTAGCATGTAGCCTGCGCTTAAATACAAGCCTTGTATTCCTTACCATAGAATTCAAAATAAATTTCGTAAATAAACTTGTTGCAAATAAAGATTTTAATTTAACAAGAAATATTTGCCACAGCCAGGTCACGCTTACATATGTCGATCGACGCGATTATAAAACTAATTCTCATAGCCGAATGTGTTAGTACCTGAGTTCAGATGGAAATTCTCGTTAGAATTGACTTAAATATTAAAAACAATAATAATTTTTGGTGGGTTCCCTTTGTTTTGTGTTAATTAAACCCAATTATAAAAAGTTTACTCCAAATCGGAAACATACACAGATCTAATTCTATTTGATTAATTTTTACAAGAAAATAATTATATACAAAATATAAAATTGATATATCTATACAACATACACTATAATAGCAACTTGTTTTTGTGGAAATCAATAACAATAAGTACCTAAAGAGTTTTTCAAAAACGATTTTCTTTTCTAAGACTTTTAAAATTTATATTCGAATATGTCCGATAGAAAAATTGAATAATAAATACAAAAATAACATCATGGTCACTTGATAATGGCGTGTTGGGGCGGCGTGGACTTGTACGGGGAGTGATACACGACACGCGCCCTCACACATCGCGTTACAGTAAATGTGAAATACAAAATATTAAAAATTATAGTGACATTATGGTAGATAAAGATTTGCACACATTACGTGTTTTCAACACAGTGGAATACATGCGCCACTAGACTACACGATATTGCAACTCATCCAAACGAGCCAGGCTCGGTACAATTAAATAGAAAGAATAATAAGAAAAAAAAAATACAAATTCGTCTGAAATGTGAAAAATAAACTTTGAATATAAATTTTTGGCAATTTTGTACTTAGTGATGGTTCGCAGAGGTGTGTAGTGTGTTCACGTGTACAGTGTCGTGTGTGTGTGTATGTGTGTGTGTGTAGTGTGTGTGTGTGGGTGTGTTGCGGCGCGGGCGTAGGTTGCCGCCGAGTCACTCTGTCGCGTGGAACGGTCGCGATGTCGCCGGCGTCGAGTTCAGTCACAATAAACAACATTCGCCTTAGTACATGTATCAACAAAATGTCCTACGTTTGTTTACGTTATGAAGTTATAACGTGAGCCGCGGGCCGACGTGGCCGCAGCTGTCCCGCGCCGCGCACCGCCCACCTGCAACAACATTACATTGGCGATTACAATTTAAAATGGCAACAAACACTTAATAACGCTTCTTTAAATCCATACAAACAGTAAACAAAACGCATTTAATGTCAGGATGAAGTTTAATAAGCGTCTTCGCACACGAATCGTTTTGACGATGTTCGAATAACGTAATGACAATAAACACCCGATCACATTTGTTGAATATGATAATGCTTTGTATGTATTGAAAAGTTGAAGCGATTTAACGACGGTACGCCTGCGATACGACGTCGTGAAAGAACAAACTCTATAGGAAAAAGTGTTAAACTCACCTAGACGAGCTTCGTGAGGCGAGCGGCGCGGCGCGTCCGCGGCACGTTGGCGACGCGCGACTTGAGCGGCGTGCGCGGTCGTCGCCGCGCGCCAACGCCTACCCCACTGTCACCGCTGTGCCCCGACACCAACGACTCACTGTCGCTCTGGTTCGACGTGTAGCCGATCACGTCAACCTCATCTGGAATTTGCAGAAAATAGTTTGTTAATAACAGTCCAGGCAATATAGGTTTTAACAAAAAAGGTTATATAACAAAAACGATTCATTTGATTCAAGTAGTATTATCTGCACTCCTTCATAAACCGACTTTACAAGTGAATATTGGAGCACATGTCACGAACGGTAGATCCAACTAAGTATTTAATCTAGAAAAACAATAAAGGCCGTAGTAGCGTGATCAGTATTCCGTCATTCCCAATTTTGTCTTTCAATTGTTTTATACCCCGGGTGCTCGAAATGCATCGAGCACTTTTAAATTGTGTCTTTAATTAAAACGACGAATTTGTACGACTTTAAGATCAACAAAAGGTTTTCTAGTTTCAACGAAACTATATTTTAAAGTTGAAAAAATTAAAAGAATAGTCGTGTTACTAATTTTTATTTAACTCTTTTATTTTGACAGATAAGTTGTTATCTATGAGTTGAGAATGGTTACAAGTGGCATCTTTAGATGATAGAATATTTTCGAAGCATGGATAACAATATGTTGCTACATGGTACAAAGACAGGTACAAATTTGTTATTAGCTGCCTACAATGCAAAGAGATATGCGTATAACATATTAGACAAAAAGTCTTCATAATGTATTCCAGCAAAAAATAAATGATCGAAGACAAAACTACTTAACATTTAAGTAAAATATTTTACTTTAAGTTTTTATAAAAGTAGCCATTACTAAGTAAGGCTAAGTAAATACTAAACTTAGGTAGGTTGTCAGTTAAGTTTTTTAGGGTATTTTTGACCTTTGGGAACGCAATTTAAAGATTTAATTTAATTTCCGATAACACCTTTTGAGAGTGAAACACAATTTAGTAGAAGTATAAATATGTCAGAAGGTATAACACTGATAAAATAATTGTCATCGTCAACAGCTTCTGACAGTCCAGGGGGCTTACTCTTTGATTCAAATTCCGATCGATCGACATTGGTATTGTGAAATTTCGTACTCTTGAGTTGCAACACTAGCGCCCATTGCATCCGTATTGCGTGGATATTTAATGAACTAAAATAAATTGAGTTTGGCTTTATATTCCGTACTCTGAATGCTATTTTAACAGCTACGATTGTGGTTGTATAGTGTTGACATTGAATAATTATTGAGATTTTATTGGATTGAAGTTGCATTGATATTAATTAAATTTTTTAATTTTTTTTTTATTAAAAATAAACGTTACCCCACAGTAGGATTTTCTCCTGTATCGTGGGTGCGTTTACAAACATATAAGTTCACATAACAACACCCAGACCCGAAACGACAATCTGTGGATCACACAGAGTTGCTCAGTGCGGGAATCGAACCCGCGACACGTTGCACGGCAGCCACGTGCGGTCATACTCATTGTGTTCTAGACCAAACACCTAGCACCAAGCCTTCCTTTATACAATGGGAGTTGAAATATCTTAATGCTTATCAGGTAATTCGGAAATTCTAGTTTAAAAGGATGCTCAGGGAGTTCTGCTGCTAATAGATTTACATAAGTGTGGGAGAGCCATGCTAAGTATGGGAGAGCCATGCTTCGGCACGAAAGGGCCGGCTCGACCGGAGTGATACCACGGCCTCACAGAAACCCGACGTGAAGCAACGCCTGCGTTGTGTTTCGTCGTGTGAGTGAGATTACCAGAGGCCCAATTACCCTCCCCTTCCCCAATCTCCCCAATCCCTGAATCCCCAACGACCATCAAACTCCTAATCCCCAAAAGGCTGGTAACGCACTTGTAACGCCTCTGGTGTTCCAGGTGTCCATGGGCGACGCCGATTGCTTACCATCAGGTGATCCATCAGCTCATTTACCGGCTTATGCCATAAAAAAAACATATCTACCTACCTCTTCCCTCTTTATGGATCTAAAACCAATAAGAATTCAAGTTCCAAAGACTAACCAGGGGGCTTAGACAAAGTAACAATTTAAAAACGATAACGAAGTTAGTTAAGACTAAAATGTATGGGATTGACATAGGCCACGTTAAGTCACGTGGTCAATCGACATCGTTATCGCAATTTGGTAGGCAATGTTATATTTCATAACGAAACTATAAAGTAACGAATCGTTATCGTGTTTATTCCATATAAATGCGTAGCCAAGCAGACCTTTCAGTGTTCGCCAACGCCTCGATCGTGATCGCCAAAAACGATAACGAAACGAATGCTAAAAGGTTGTAGTTATTGAAACAATATGGCCGAATTTCATTATTGATCCTGTTATTATTTATTTTGTGTTAGAGGCAATACACTAATACAGATCAAATAGATTTAAAAATGCATTCTCTGCGTTTATTGTGGGCTGCACACAATGAGACCGACTGGGAGAGACGCCAAAAATGGTTAAGACAGCGACGGTTCAATATAGGTACTTCATTGTTAAGATCGCGTCATTGTTTACATTACATACTCATGAATGAAACTTACGTTTCCATATACTCGAGCAGCGTTGCGAATTGTTCAGGACTTGCTCGCACTCTTGATTCCATGTTTTATCACTAAATATTAAAATAGATAAGAAATAGAGAGAGATCCATCATCGTTTAAACACCAGTCACTTATAAAAATGAGTCTATTTTGATTATCATTAAGTTTTGGAAACGATCTAAAAGTAATAACACTCTATTCATTACGACTGTAAAATTATCGTTTATATTTAACTTAAAAACAATTAAACGCAACACTCACTTTCTTATTAATAAAATTTTAAAACATCAATATCTCGCGAGTTTGATCCGATTTGAACTTTTTGACTGTCACTGACAGCTGGATTTTCGATACCATAACCAATATTTTTGTTTTTTGCCGAATAAAGAATTCGACACAACGATCACGACCATAGTGTTACATTGGCTAGGAAATGTTTATCGTTATCTCAGAGACGATGGCGAATTTACTTTTCGTTTCGCTATTAAGCGATGTTACTTTGTCTAAGGACCCAGGCAATGTATGCAAATTACATTTACTGGAAAACAAACTGTCAGCATGTTTGCGAGTAACTATTAACAGGTAATCCGCTTTGAGCTCGCAAATAGCTATATAAACAAGTTTGTCGTGCCTCGTCGCTAATTCTACATACATTCATATTTAACTTATTCTGTAAGGCTAGTTATACATACGTGAAAGGGCAAGCAGAATTGTACTTAAAAGTAAATCGAGCTTTCGTTTAGCTAACTTTAGTTACTAACTAGTTAGTAAAGGCTATAATAGAATGTGGTTTAATTGCCAAATGCCAAATTCAAGACTCTGCTTTAAGTGTTCAGAATTATATGAAAACTAGCTGTTACCCGCGGCTTCGTTCGCGTCACAAAAGGATAAAAAGTAGCCTATGTGACATATACTAATACATACAGCGCCATCTATACCAATACTTTTGTTTTCCCTCGGGAATATCAAATTTTTCCGGAATAAAAAGTACCCTATTATTTAATCCGGACTTCTAAATTTACGTCTGCAAAAATTCAAAGTAATCGATTTAGTAGTTACAGCGTGAAAGCGGAACAAACAAACAAACTCACTTTCCGATTTATAATATTAGTAAGGATTACAATAATACACTGTCCTATCCGGATAATGACATTGCTATATGCTCCATAACCGCTCTTGTGACTATTCAGTTTCTGAGTGGCACTACCTTATCTGTAATATTGTTCACAGATATTAACTGCACGGTTGGAGCGGTGGCTGGGCAACCGGCTGCCGTGCATCGTGTTGCGGGTTCGATTCCCGCACGGAACAACACTTTGTGTGATCCAAAAACTGTTGTTTCGGGTCTGGGTGTTATTGTGTATGTGAACTTGTATGTTTGTAAACGCACTTACGACACAGGAGAAAAACCTAGTGTGGGGCAACGTTTTAAAAAAAACATACATCAAATTTGTTACTCCATAAAATTAAGAATTTCAAGTCCTCTTTGAAGTCTTCAATATCTCTATAGTTAAATGAACTTGTTTACTTTTTACACAGTTTAATTAGAAGCTGCCCCAAAACCTTTCAGGCTCGGTGAACTGTAAATCAGTATTGGGCACTTGATAGATTGGTTACATCAAAAGAATGTACAGCGAAAAGTAATCTTTAAAATAATGATGTTAAATAAATAAATTGCTGGCCGATCAATCAGGTTCTTTTTCGAATTAGGCAAAGTGTTATCGAGTTTTAAGGTCATGAATTCTTAGGATAGATTCGCTCCCTATTACTAAGAACTCTGAACATACCTGACGGAAAGTAACTTTTACATTAATAGGGTAGATGCCTAATTTTTATTTTAATGTCCGTCTGGCAGATTATTTTAAATCATTAGACACGTATTTTTTATTTTCTTACGGAAACGAATACTTTCAATATTTCAATTATATTGATTTGAAATGTCGTGTGACGTCACTTCTAAGTACATTTTATACGTAGAAATGACGTTTTAGCCCCCACTCCTAAACTTTGATTTGTTTTATCTAAGTATTATTTTATTATACGACTAATTAGATTTTTAACTTTAATTACACGTCATCATCCCAATTGTACAAATGTACACCATACATTTTCAAGGTACAAAAACCCTTGACGTCAAACAAATTCAATTGTAAATCGCATATAGAATTTGTGCCGCGCCATCCCTACAAGATCCCAGTACAAGTTTGTTGAGACTAATTATAACACAAACGGCAAGCAAGCGAGTGGATCGCAATGTGGGTAGGTGCGCGCCAATTTCCTGCAATACATGTTAAATGGCGGCCAATCGTGCGCCGCCCGTCGACCGAGCAACACGCCCCTTCCGAGAGCTCCGCACTTGAAAATTACACTACAAACTTATGGTTTAATTTGCTATTAATTTGTTGAATGTTTGATTTGTATTGGAGGACTGTGTTTTGGTTTGAGGTGATTCTTGTTGTGATTGTTTCTTTAAGAAAGGATATGTTTTGCATTGATAATTTACTTTATTTAATGTACAATTCATTAAATTAGTAATTTAAAAGTACTACTGATT